TGGCACTGGGGCCCAGCCTCAGAATCCTCACTGTGTTGCCTCCTGGGGCAGTGTGGACAACCTTGCTTTCCAGGTTCTAATCAGTGAACTGACTGGCAGGTGTGTTCTGCCTCCAGCAGGCCCCAACAGGCCTGTGTTCTCTCAGAACCTAGCTTCTTACCAACTCCTGGGTAAAAAACTCAGGGCTATTTATATTAGATCCACGGAAGGTGGAGTTGTAAGGGAGGCAAAGAAGAGATCCCTTGAGAAGCTCTCCTTTTCCTCCCAAACAACTTTGGTGGCTTATAAAGTTGAGAACCAAAACCTCCTTTATTTCCTTGGATCTATTTCCAGTTACTAGATTCTGGAAGGGGATTTGAACTCTGGGCTGTGAGGGTGAAAAAAGAAATTTGCATCTGACTTAAACACGTGGTTGCAGTCTGTTCTTTTCATGGAAGCATTGTTCAGCAGAGGAAACAGTTCATGGATATCTCTGGCTTTGCCCCTCCTCTAGAAAAGCCTTCAAGACTGAACTCCCTCCTTTCCCCTCCAATACTTAGGGGCTGAGATGCTTTGTAAAAAGTCTGGGTGTTAGACCGGACTTTGCTGAGACTTGCAAGAATCATAATAAGGTAAATTTCAAGATAGAAAGGGCTGATTCAAAATCTTTGAGTAGAGTCACTGTCAGACAATACAATGCTAACCTGAGAACCTCCTTGGAGGTTTTTTCTGAATAATTCATAAAGGTGACTCAGGAAAAGGTGTTACCAGAGCAAGTACTTAAAGCCAACACATTTGGTTTGCTTCGAGAGCAAATGTCTTTTACTTTTATTTACTAGATTTAAAATACAGAGCAAAGGGCTAGAGAGATGGCTCAGTCGTTAAGAGGACTGACTGTTCTTAAAGAGGACCCAGGTTTGAATCCCAGCACCCACATGGCAGCTAACAACCATCTTTAACTCGAGTTCCAGGGAAAACAATGTCCTCCTCTGCTCCCTACTCCCCATACTGCACGCATGTGGTACACATGCATACATGCAGGCAAACACTCATAACAAAATTTTTTTAAAATGTGGGGCTGGAGAGATAGCTCAGCAGTTAAGAGCACTGGCTGTTCTTGCAGAGGACCTGCTTTAGTTCCTAGCACCCACATGACAGTTAACAACTGTCTGTAATTCCAGTTCCAGGGGAATCTGATGCCCTCTTCTGGCCTTTGCAGGCCTTGCACTACCTGGGTGCACTTACATACATGCAGGCAATGCATTCATGCACATAAAATAAAAGTAATAAATAAAAATACAGAACATGGTGGGAAGGATGGCTCAATGGCTAAGACCACTCACTTCTCTTGCACAGGACCCGACTTCAATTGCTAGCACCTACATCAGGTGGCTCACAACCACCTGTAACTCCAGTTCCAGGTCATCTGAGGCCGTCTTTGGGCATTTGCACAAATTGTTGGCATGCACTTACACAGAGACACATATATACATACACATAAATAAAATAAATGAAAAAAAAGGGATCTTTAAAAATACAGAGAAGTTCAGTGGCCTGCATTTTCCTCCAATTCTAAATATTTTCTGTGATCATGATCCTATCTATGCAGTCCTGCCAACCATAGAACTGTCCAGAAATATAATATCCATGATTATCCTATTGCTTTTATATTTAGAGAAAATTTTCATTAAATAAGAAAATAAGTACCCCGATTTAAAATCATAAGCTTTTATATTATATTCATTACTTCATAACTTTTCCTCAAATATCTCTAAACAGATGCATTAGAACATTGACTTTCTCCTCACATTTAAATTATCTGTGATTAGTGAGTCAGAAGAATGAATTCCAATAAGGCTCTCTAGGAACTTAGTAGTTTTTAGTTTACCCATAAATGCATATGCATTATAGAAATAGTCTATACAATTTGGGATCCATCCATCTAAACCTTCACTGCGGATAACAGGATAACTCTGCATATGAGATTAAGAAGGGTTTGAGCTGGCAGGCAGTCTGGAGGCCTGTTCAACTCCTGGACCATGAATGCTCTAAACTTCATAGATCACAGCCTCTTCTCTTTTTAGAACGCAGTAGTACTTCCTCACATAATTCACTTGAACAACAACTTTTAATCTAACAGGTGCACAGTGAAGGCCTGAGTATCGAACAGTTCAAAACCCTTTTTGGATTTGTAAATTCCAACCTTTTGGCCTTCTTCTGTTCTGCCATTGAGCTATATTTGCCTGAACAGATTTAACCCAGGTCAAAGAGGGAATTCTTCTAACACCTCACACTGTAAACAAATTAATTTGTGCTATTTCATCTGATTTTATCATCTTCAATAATTTTAAGTCTTAATTTTCAGATCAATATTGAACTGATTCTTAGTTTGGAGAATTCCACTGCTAACTTGTTACACTTTTTTTCATATTATAATTAGATCAGTTGAAAAATGGTACAATTATCGGCAGTATTCATTGGCTGTTTATCGACCTCAAACTAGGGGCTAAATCTGTAGGCACTTGATACAGATCCTGATTGACTATGCTTTTACAAAGTTCGCACCTCCATAGACAAGAGTGATTTCTTGGTACCTTTCAAATAATGTCACATCAGTTCTCCGCTATCTGTAAACATTGTGCATTTCCTTTAAATAGTCTAGCTGTCTCTAAGCTCAAATATCTAAACTCTGCACAGTTGGCTTTTGTGGTTGTGTTTTTCACAACATCAAACCATCATACAGGAAGGAAAATTTGAGCAACCTGAGCTGTCTAGGAAGACAGTTTGCTGAGGTTAAGAAAGCCCTTGTCTAGGTACCAGGAAACCTGGCTCTGCCAAGCAGTTCAGTGACTGTGAACTAGTTACTTAATCTTCCTAGTTTTTACTTACCTCTTAGATAAAATTACCCTGTTGGAGTAGAAAATCTCTGTGCTACCTTCCACACTGTGGAGACTTGGGTATCTACTGTTTCAAAATATTTTGAAATTTCTTATAAAGCTCTTTCACAAATGCCTTATAATTTTATCCTCATAAGAATCCCCAAGGTAGACAAAGCAGGACTTTAGCAAACAGAGATAACCAAGGTGTATCATTTTAGATGTGGTTACTAAGGCAGATAAGGTGATTGGCAAAGATTATTTTACTGGTAAATGACAGAAGTGGAACATGAACTCTGGTATTCTAACACCAGCAGAAAAACACCACAAAAAACCACACACACACACACACATACACACACACACCACACATGAGGAAGCATGACTGTTTGGAATGACTAGTTAGAGGCAGGAATTGGTGCTAGTACAGGTGCTTCCCTCTAGTGACTCAAACCACATGAAATGCAGACGAAGTAATAGCAGAAATGAGTTAGGAAATGACTGAAGCTCCATTGTAACATGAGTAAGAGAGTAACTGAGAGATGGAAAATGGCAGCCGAGTGCTCATGGGTAGGTTTGAGGACACAATATACAGCCAAGTTATGATTCGGTTATGACCCCTCTTACTGGAAATGTACAGATAAGGTGTGAAGGAACAGACCGAAGGACCAAAGTTATGAGAAAAATACATGCATTTGGAAAAAATTAAAAGGAGAAACTCATTGACTAAAAATATTTAAAAAACAATAGCACATGGAAAACACACTATGAACTGCTATGAAAATTAAGAGTAGGAAAAGATGTCGTATAGATGTTTAGAGTACAATAAAAGGAATCTATGGAACTGCATACCCCATAGATTAATGTGATATAGGAAATAGATCTGGAAATACTAATGGGTAAAAAACTTGATGTGTGAACTCCATTCCTAAATAGTCCAGAAGAAAATAATGTGTATGTGTGTGAAGGATATGTCACGGTTTTTTTCTGCTATTCAGAGGCTTGAATTAGTTCAAAATTAAATGTAAAATTAAAAACAATGCTGGGACTGCCAGGCATGGTTGACGCACGCCTTCAACCCCTGTCTCCCCTGTCTCAAAAAGACCAAAAAAGGAGCACAAACATTGGCTCAGTAAACAATATCATAACCTTTTCCTTGTAGTGCTGGGGATAACCTAGGACTTTGCACATGGTCCAAAGCCCATTTCTTGAAGTCTTTTTTTTTTTTTTTTTAATGAACTGTTGATTTTAATAAAAGAAATTTCTTGAGGGTATAATTCAGTGGCCTGGTGCTTAATGAGGCATTGACTTCAATTCCCAACACAAAGAAGGAAAGAAGGGAGGAATGAAGGAAAAGAAGAAGAAAGGGAGGCACGGAAGGAGGGAGGGAAGGAGGAAGAGAGAAAGCTTGTTTTCTCAATTACAACTTACTTTCTCAATAAGATTCAATCAAATCTTATTCCCACTAGTAAATCTATATTATTTGAATGGAAAAGGAGAACCCACCCTGGTAACATGGGCCAACTAATCTAATTGGAAGGCTGAGGCAGGAGGATCAAAAGCGCAAAGCCAGACTGGGAAATTAACAAGACCCTGTCTTAAAAATAAAAATGATGGGCCAGGGAGATGGTTCAGTGGGCAAAGGAGCCTGCTTCCGAGCCTAACAACCCGAGTCCAATCTCCTGCAAGAAGAGGCTTCTGGGACTTCAACAAAGGTGCCGTCATGCATGCTTCTCCTGCAGTAAATAAGTAACTGTAATTAAAAAAAATTTTTTAAATGGGCTTGGGATACAAGTAAGTGATAGAACCATTGCCTAGCTTGAGGCCCTAGGTTCAATCCCAGAGAGTGGGAGAGAGAGAGGGAGAGAGAGAGAGAGAGAGAGAGAGAGAGAGAGAGAGAGAGAGAATGACTCCACTTTCTGCAAGACCTGTAAAATGGAACACATATGGTGGTGGATAAGGCTGTGGGGTTTTTGTTTTGTTTTGTTTTGTTGTGTTTTGTCTTGGTGGTGATGTTTTTATTTAATGGTTTGTCTTGTTTTGTCTTTCAGCACTGTCACTGAATCCAGGGCCTGTGTGTCTACCTCTGAGCTCCATCCTCAGCCCTTAATTTTTTTTGAGACTGCTATTCTCCTTCCTTCTACCACCTAAGTGCTGGGATTACAGGTATGTGCTACCACACTCAGCTTCCAGAGTATAGCGTAAACAGAAGCCTCTGAGGATGAGTGGTTACTCCTTTTTAAATGGCACTAAAGGAAAGAATATTCTTTTCCTTTTTCACTGTTGCGTGTGTGTTTGTGTGTGTACGTGTCCACGTGTGCAGGAGTGTGCTCATGTGGAAGCTGGAGAACAGCCTTGCCTACTGTGCCTCAGGTGCTGTTCACCTTGGTTTTTTTTTTTGTTGTTGTTGTTTGAGATGAGGTCTTTCATTAGTCTGGGGCTTGCTGAGTAGACTAGGCTGACTGGCCAGCAAGACTCAAGGATCTGCTGACCTCCACCTCTACAGAGTTGGGATTACAAGCATGTGTCACCTTGCACAGCTTTTTTACTTGAGTTCTGGAGATTCAATCAGGTTGTTGTATAAGCATTTTGCCAATTTAGCCCCCAAAGAAAAGTATTATAAAGGATGCATCTATAATAGAAGACTTACAAATTCCAGATCTCAATAAATTCTACTGGGGAGCACAAAGAAACACAGGCATGGAAGTCTTTCTACAGCTAAAACATCGATAACTAATAATTGGCCTATTTATTTAAAATGTAAAACTAGATTTACCTGCTGTTTTAATAAAAGTACTGCAGCCAAAATATTAACTGTAGTAGCAAGCCGTTTTCATTGTTCCCTGAGCACACCCCAAAGCTTAAAATATAATCTTCGTCATGTGCTAGCATGCACTGTGCATCTTAATGTGGGTAATTACTGAAAATATCTTTGATGCAGTAAGACAGGTTCTACCTAATTCTCTTCTAACACCTCAGGGCCTAAGGATGAGCTCCAGAGATTATAAACAGAAGAAAACCCAAAGCCCGTTTTGGAAGTCTTCCCTACATTTTTATTCAAGCAGTGACCAGCTTCATTATTAGCTGTAGGCCTGCCCTCCTAGCAACATTTCCCAAATGGTAATGAAAGCTTTGTAGGAACTGTCAGTGAAGTTCATATAAGAAGCTTCAAACTCAGCCTGAAAATCTGAAAACGACTTGTGAGCTTCATGCCCACAGCAGTGTGTGAGAGCCAACCCTGAGTGTGACGCCCTAACCTGCTAGCAGCCTGTAATCCTCATATCCAGTTTATGCATTTGATTACTGTGAATGTCATCCTCTAGGTGAGTACTCAGTGTCCCCATTGGAAATCAACAATAACTGATGATACAGACACTGAGTCTCAGCTGAATTAAATTAAAATACTGGCTCACAGATCAGGATGAGAAGGAAAGAATCTAGCATTTCCTGAACTCATATTCTCTGCTGTAACTAGGTCAATGCCTCTCCAACTTCAATGTACCTGTGATTCATCCAAGGAATGGTTTGAGCTAGCATATTTCAATTCACCAGCTCTGGGGAAAGACCTGAGAGTTTGCATTTTTAACAGGTTTTTCAGACCATGCTGACTGCTGATTTCCACACCACACTTTGTGGGCAAGAGCTGAAAGCCTTCATATCTAATTGACACAATGAATTTGAAAGTTAGTTATTATCTTTTGAAAAAGAAAATCGAGCAGAGGTTAAATAATTGTTCAGTGGAGCAATCTGAAGTTTTTCTAATAGCAAAGTTCATGCTCTTTCCAAAACCTTAATAACACCCCAAACAACAGATGCTTTATTTTATTCTGATTTTTTAAATTGGAGACCAAGCCTTTGAAGAAGGCTCAGTGGATTTAGCACTTGCCATGCGAGTGTGAGGACTCGGTTCCATCCCCTAGAACCCACCTAAAGCAGGACAGAGTAGAATGTTTGTAATCTTGGAGCTCTCAAGACAAGAGGGAAGGTAAAGCCTGGAGAATCCCAAGTTCATGGGCATACTAGCATGGGGCATGCAGCAGTGAACAAGAGACCCTGTCTCAAATACTGACACCTAAATTGTTCTCTAAGCTCAACATGCAAACTGTGGAACACTAGCACCTGAAAGCCCACATATGAACACACACACACACACACACACACACTCATACATAATTAAATATGTGACATCTGTCTAACCTTTAGATTCTCACACTGGTTATGGAGCTCAGAGATAAAACAATTGCCTAGCACATACAACACTCTGGGTTTGAGTACCCACCTCAAAGCTAAGTGAGAATTTCTAGAGGAGGTACCTAGAAAAGGTATTTTTATTTGGTAACAGGGCAGGTCTTGTGAAGAGAAACACTTAAGAAAAAAATAGATAGGTTACACTGTAGTTTTGCAAACTCAAGGTAATGATGGTGTTTTGTGGTTTTATCAGCGAGCTTTGTACACTCACACATAGAGAATCTTAGAACCCCTTTAATGATCTCCAGTTTCACGGAGAATAACTACTGGGGCACAGAGAATGAAACTCTTTGGTTTCATGATGTCAGGGATAGGTTTAGACCTGTATCTTACAACAATGTACTGAAGTTCAGTATCTAATTATGTCATTTTTAATTGTAAGGTGAAAGCAACAATAGCCACAAAATTTTCTTTCACTTTTTACCAAGTAAATGATCTTCTCTACCAATCAAATTATACAGCATCTGTATGGTAGAATAAAAATACCAACTGAAAAATATTTCCCATATTCGAAGTCCATAATTAAGATTTTTTTATTAGGAATGCGCCATAAGATCACAGTAAAGGTAATTATCTCTGCTTCCAGCCAAGGAGAATGACTACCCACAAATTTCTCCTTGGTAAATACCCATAAATTCTGAACCATAAATAAAGGTCCAAGGAAGTAGATTTTTTTACAGTAAACATTAAGAGAGACTCCTAGATAACTGGTATTTTTTTTTTTTTTTTTTGGCTCTGAACAAACACATTTTGTGTACCATACTAGTACACATTGTTAAAATTTTCTCTAGATCTTTATATATTTAATATATTGTTAAAGTTCCTAATGATAGAGCCTGGCAAGATGGCTCAGTGGTTAATAACACTGGTTTTCTTACAGAAAACCCGGGTTCGAATCCCAGCACCCACATAGCAGGTAACTGTCTGTAACTCCTGAACCAGGGGATCTGATGCCCTCTTCTGTCCTCCAAGGGTACTGCAAGGCACAGACACACTAATGCACATGCAGGCAATATACTCATATGCATAAAATAAAATTAAATAAATAAAAAATTCCTAATGAGCCTTTACTTCCCTGGGCTGCAAAGCCTCCTGGCATCCTGGTGTCAGCACCTTCCCTGGTCAGCCCATCACGCCCACCATGCCTTGACTCCTCCAGCCTCTTTCACCCTCCCAGCTCCCCAGCAGAGTCTCTCCTCCTAGCCTGGGTACAGGCCCATTTCTTGTCTTGGCACCCCAGACACCGGGCCTAACCTCTCAGCCCAGAGCCACCACTGCTTCCTGACACTTTGAATCCAGACCAACCCAGTTCCTCTCTGCAGTTCCTCAGGAGCCCTCTGGGCCTGGTCCCACCCTTACTTCCCTCTGAGCCCCTGAGCTGCACAACCCGCCAGCCTCTTTCCTGGATGCCAGGGCTGAACTCTCAGCCCGGGGCCACCACTGCTTCCTGATCCCTTGCATCTGGATGGACCCAGTTCCTTTTCAGGGTCCCCAGGAGCCCTCTGGGCCTGGTCCCGCCCTCACATCCCTCTGCTTTCCTGGGCTTCACAACCCACTAGCCTCTTTCCTGGACACCAGGGCTGACCTTTCGACTTCCTGATCCTTTGAATCCAGGCCAACCCAGTTCCTCAGTGCAGACCCCAGGAGCCTTGGGGCGTCTTCACACCCCCATCTCCCTTTGCATCTCTGAGTGTCAAGGCCACCAGCTGCCCTAGACCAGCATCTTTCCTGGGCCCTGTTCCCAGGCCAGTACAACCCCCAAATTCCTGAGGCCAAAATCTTTCTTGGAGGGATCCAGACCTTAGGAGAAAGCCTGGGAGCATATGATTCTCACCTGACTTGGGCCTCTGTGGAAACTCCTGAAGACAAAAGCAATCTGGCCACTCCAGTATAAAATCAAAAGAGAGAACCAGAAGCTTAGATGAA